CTACTAAGCTTTCTCCAAAGTAAGCCATCAACAACTCTTCTTTTCCGCCGGCCCCGCGCAGCTGGTTGCAATATCTTTTGAGGTGGGCAATAGGATCACCATGCCCGTCATACTTTTCGAACTTTGGCGTTTTAAATCCCATGGGCAGGTGCACATGAGGGAACATGCACAAATCAGTATAAGAAACACTTTTCTGCCCGCTTAAACCTTGCATATTCTTCAAGCTCTGCTCAAGGCTCCTCATTCTTTTCGCCATCTCATCTTGTTCGAGAGCTTTGCGAGTTTTATCCTGCCCCGGTGTAAGCTCAAATGGTGGTGGCTGAGAGTAATTATATGTGGGATATGAGGAGGATCCACTGGAAAGACAGGGTTTTGGAAAGTGAAAGCTGAGGGATTAAAGGCGGGCCTTGGCAGTGAAGGTTGTGTTGTAGCAGAGCATGGTGGAGCAGTGAAGATGTTAGGGGCTGCCCCTGCTGTGAACACCTGGGGGCGGACCTCAGAAGGCGTTCCGACGAAGTGAGCGGTCATGGTAGGCTGTCCCAAAGGAGTATGAGGGTGGCTGATGGGGATATTGGAGGTACCCTCGGATCTAGGGAATAGTTCAAGAAATCCAGGGATGGCACTTGGAGGCTCTCTTCCATTGGTCCAGGCGTCCCACATCTCCATGAGTCGGAGACGTAGTATCCGGTTCTCTTCTGCTGTGACAGACTCAGATGCAGGGATCCCCGAGATGGGGCTGTCCTCTGAGATGGGGACTGCGGGCAAAGTCATTTCCGTAGATATTTCCACGCTTACTTTCGATCTGGTAAAGTATTGATGCGATGCCAGCTTACCACAACCAACTACCGTTTCTAAAAGCTAGGCTGGAATTAACAGCAACACACGGTTAGTTTGAGACAAGTAACAGATAGATAATCGCACACTGGGGTGTGATGCACCTATACAGTTAACGGATGTCTACATGTTTGCACTGGTTGCTTGCGTCATCCCGGCTTTTCTTTTTCTATTTTCTCTTCTTTTGATTTCCACTCTTCGTTTTTCTCGCTTTCCTTTCTCTTTTGTTTTTCTCTCATTTTTCTTTTCCCTCCGTTTTCCCTGCTTTTCTCCTTTCTTTGCCATGGTTTTTCTCTCGACTTCTTATTTTTGATTTTTGCATTTCTTTCTCTCTTGTTTTTCTTTTACTTCCTCCCCTCGTATTTTTTTCTTCTTTTTTTTTAGGGTTACGGTCGAATCCTATGGAGATTGCCTACGTATCATGACCCCGCATGAATCAGACCAAGCGTAGTTCTTGTGAATAAGGTAAAGAAACTAACTCTCTCTTTTTTTTGGAATTTTGAAAGACACGCTTTAAAAGAAAAAGGGAAATATTTTTTTTTTATTTTTGATTTTGATTTTGCTTTTGAGTTTTTGAGAGAAAGACTTCTAAAGATTTCTTCCTTTTTATTGGAACTTCTTAATTTCGGAAAGGGGACGTTTACGAAAAATGTTTTGGATTTTTGAGCAAAAATATTTTCGGACTCAATTTTTCAAAATTTGTATTTTTTTTATTTTTTATGTATGAAAGAAAGACATCTCAGGAGTATTTTAATGATTTATTTTGACCTAAAAGGAAAATTGGCTATTTTGTTTCAAAAATTTTATTTAAGCAAACGAAGACTCGGTTTTGCAGATACGGCCTTTCAGCACTTCGCGAAAGAAGATTTTAAGGCTATGCCCGCTAACCATTGAAAATGACCCAAGGTGGCTGTTCTTGCAAAAGCGACCTTCCGGAGCCCTTTTGGGGACATTCGGCTTATTTTAAGCAAGAATGGCATCACCTGACTTATTTGTGACAAAAGTTAAAATTTTGGTATTTTTGGCTATTTTTGCAAAGGGTGGTTGGACCCGATGAGGGTTGCCTACGTATCTCACATCCGGTGAGAATCAAACCGACGTAGTTCGGGCAAATTGGGAGTTGAGTAAACTAACTCCCTTTTTTTTCTTCTTTTTATAAAACGCAGACCATGAAAGCTTTAAGGCCAAAGAAAAATATTTTTGATTGTTTTGGATTTTTTTTTTTTTTTGAAATTTTCTAAAAACAATGCTTTAAAAGAAGAAAGGAATTTTGTTTTGGATTTTTTTTTTTGATTTTGATTTTATTTTTGAAAGAAAAACTTCTGAAATTCCTTTTGTTTGATTTGAACTTAGGGAATTCCAAAAGTAAAAATAAAATATTTTGTTTGAATTTTCATTTGTTTTCTCTTTTTCTAAGGAAAATAAAGAAAATATTTTTGGATTTTGGATGTAACCTCTTAATTTTCGAAAGGGGAACTTCTTTAAGAAAAATATTTTGAATTTATGAGCTTTTATTTATTTATAAAAGTACTTCTAAGGAAAAGCAAAAAATATTTTTGGACTTCAAAATTTTTATTGACATTTACAAAAAAACTTCTAAAAAACAATAAGAGTATTTTTTTATTTTTGTTTCTGATTTTTTTTTGGATTTTTGGAAAAATACTTCAAAATGAAGGAAACCTGTATTTTTGGATTTTGATTTTTATTGATTTTTTATTTTTTGCATGAAAGACATTAGAAAAAAGGAAATCATTTTTGAGTTTAAAAAACTTCTCTTTTTTTTTTTTTTGAATTTTCTAAGGAAAGATTTCTAAAGAAAGAACTGAAAGAAAATATTTTTGGATTTTTTTGAAAATTGGGGTCGGAACCGATGAGGTTTGCCTACGCATCTCACATCCGGTGAGAATCAGACCCGCGTAGTTCGGTCAGATTGCCAAAATCAAAACTATTTTGAAACCACATTTTTCTTTCTATGTTTTTCTTGTTTTTTCTTGCAAATATTTTTTCTCTTTTCCATTTTTCATTTTTCAAAAATCCGGCAGCATTTCGGCACTACTTGGACATTGGTTTTTTTAATATAGGTAATTAACTCTCCACACCGCTATTTTCTCTTTTTCTCTCTTTTTTCAATATTGCCCAGATATTCAAAGTCGGTCAGCATGCGAGTCCAAAACAGATAAATGCACAAATAGGATGCATCAGGATGGTCCATTATTCCGGGTACACCTGTCCTAGACGGACCCAACCCCTGTGTTGAGTCCCCTAAGTCAAAATGCACGTGATGCACATAAACGTTCCTACTAGGGATCCGGCATGGAGTCGAGTTATTCTAGGTTCAAAACCTGAGTATATGTTCTAGACTGTGTACCCGAGCGGACAACTCGAGTCGATGAGGGGGCTACGTACCGGGAACCAAAAGGCCATCCGGCTTAGTAACTTGTCCGGCCTCTTTCTTATTTTAAGGTATTGACACTAACAGAATAGAGAGTCATAACCAGTGAGCACATCCCCGGAGATGAGAAGAGAAGGGTTTCGTAACAATTTTATATATACAATTCAGAATATCAAAGAGGTAAAACATTTAGCACATATAGTATGGAACATGTAGAAAAATCAGATAAAGCCAAATATAACAATTATACTAAGCTCGAATTCTTGAACCCTGAATCGAAATTCTGGGTTCGTATCCCCAGCAGAGTCGCCAGAGCTGTCACACCTCCTTTTTTACATACCTACCCCGAAGGATAAATATATAAGGGAGTTTTTCTATTTAAAGTGACATTATTCGAAATGGGATCATTTGTTTGATTTTAGAGTCGCCACTTGGGATAGGATTGGCTTTTGGTGTCCCAAGTCACCGGTTTAATTTTGAATCCCAAATCGAGGAAAAATTTCGACTTCCCAATTGGAGTCTGCGAACCAGAAATTCTGAATAAGGAATTCTGTTGATCCGAGGGAAGGTGTTAGGCACCCCCGGATCCCGTGGTTCTAGCACGATCGCTTAAATTATTATAAATGGCTACAATCTGATTTTTATACATGTTTTAACTTATGTGCTTTTTTAAATTTAAACCGCTTTTATTATTGTATTTTAATAAGAATTGCAACGCCGTGAAAATGTATCTCGAACCGCGTCGCACCAGTACACCCGCGATTTTTGACACATTTTGACTTCGTTGAGATTTGGATTTGGGTCGCATAAATGCGCACCCGAGTTTAGGAAAGTAAATTATTAAATCGCGCCTAAAGCGTCTAACGAGTTATTATTTAGGGGAAGGCCGTGAAATTCGCTAAACGGCCCGTCCCAAATTCTAAGTACTTAATATGATATTTATTGAGGGCCCCGCAATTTATTTGTTTGGCTTAACAAGGCTCATCTCGTCATTTTTATTTAAAGGTCAATCCTAAATTGACTATGATTTTCTATTGAATTTGTCTCAAAAGCTGGTTAATTCGCATTTATAAATCCGGGCCTCAAATTCATGTCCGAATTCAAACAAAAGGGAAGACCCTTTTAGCTTGAACCCGCTACCTAATTCGAAACCCAATTTTATATTTGTGAATTAACTTCCATATTCCTAATATAATTTTTAAAGAGTTTCAGCTTCCAGCGGTGTTGGACCTTAAAAGTTTGGCCCATGAAGCATGTAAATGTTGCTGGGTTACATTGAGAGCTGGCCCAGCGCAGGGCTTCTAATGTTGCCCTTGGGCCCAGGTCCAAAATTTTACTGCATAGGCCTTGAATCGATTGCATAGGCCTGACTATTTCTGCTGGGCCTGCGTTTGAGCCCGGTCTTTCAATCCAGCCAACATGAGCCCAAAGCTCCATTGATATTATTAAGGATATCAATTAATAATGATTGACCTATAAACCCATTTACATTTGTTAACACTTAAACAGGGATTTAAGCATGAGTAGAGTAGCGAAAGGACTTAAAACACATTGCTGATGACTAACAGTTAAACTAACAAACAGGCCACACCTCAATCATAATCCAACAATATAACCTTTCAACAATGTAACACCTAGCACTTATGAACCAATTCCGAAGTGAGCATTTTAAGACCATTACACGTTATCTGCAGCAGCTTTAACAGGCTAGTATATTTCAATATTGTTGATTGCTTTTGATTCCCAATTTTAAAGTAGCATATGGCAACATGGATAGCAGCACCAATTTAAATCGAACCTAACATTACTAGACACGAATTTCAGGTGATTCATGATTGAGACCGAATTAGTTCACAGTCCTTTACAAAAGGAGTCCAATAGTCCTAATTAGTACAGTCTTAGAATCAACAGTCCAAAAGCTTTATAGTTTAATTGAAACAAATCCAAACAGTCCTAATTAATACAAACTAGTAATGAAACTACAGCTACATATTAAACTAATAATGAAAACAAAAAAACAGAGTCGTATGGTAGAAAAGCTTCATCATTTGGATTTCACAAGGGTTCATGTACATTGAGTGAAACTTCATGCTACTAGGGATAACAAGTGTACCTGGAATTGAGCAAAGTAAAAGAAAGGAGTCAGCAGCAGAGATGAGAAGCAGCAGTAGTGCAAAGTCAAACTCGAAGCCCAGGAATGTTTTAAAAATCAAACAGGATAGACAGAGTAATCCAAGCAGTACCAAAATACTTCAGAAATAACCCAGGAAATCAGTACACCCAATTAGTTAACCCAAATTTACTCGAATTGCCCATAACAACTACAACAAACCAGAACTTATCCAAAATCAATCAATCCAACTCAAAAATTGCTCTAAAATCAAACTAATGAATCTCTGAAATTTCTGGAGCTAGAAGAATAGATCTCAGCAATTAGAACTCAAAACTAACTTGAATTATCTAATGGAACAGTAATATTTTTGGATTTTTTATTGATTATCTATTGTTTTTGGATTTTTGAAGGCTTAAATTTCAAAATCAGATCTGAAATTGAAGAGGAAATTTTTGGGGGGAACTTTTGGAGGCTGAAAAAAACGTCCTCTCCAAGGCAAATGAATGCCTATTTATAGGTAAACTTAGGGTATAATTTCAGGTTTTTATTTTACCCTTTAGTCCCTACTTTAATTCTATCTTTACCCTTTATTTCCTGACTTGTTACACAAGTAACTACCACTATTTTTGTGAATTTCAGCTTAAAACCCCTTCTAGAAAGTCCTAGGGGGTTCTATTCTGATTTTTCTACCCTTAGAATCCCTAAACTACCCTTGTATTAATTCTGAAATTACTATTTCTAATAAAACTACCCTTTTCCATACCCAAGCTACCCTTTATCAATCCCAGAATTACTAACTTATACCTACTAACCCTCAACCCTGTTAACTTGGTCCAAACTAACTATGGTTATTCAATCAAGGGATGGGTATTCAGCTATATCCAAACCAATCCTAAAAATCAATCTAACTAATCGAATTAATTCTAATTATAATCTAAGATCATCAATGAACTAGCAATCGACAGTAAATGAACAGAACTAAAACTAAAAATCAAATTAACGAAACATTCATGAATTAATTTATCGCAATCAAACACCACATCAAACCAACAGAAATCATAACAGAACAAATATTAAATCAAAATAAACAAAAGACGGCAGAATTAATCGGAACAGAATCAATTAGAACCTTAAGAATTCTGAACGAAATTATTATGCAATGCAATGAATAAAAAGAAAATCAAACAAAGACAAAAGAAACTTACTGATTTTAAGAACTCCGGCCAGCCACTGTTGCTTGAATCCTCCAGGATTCTTGACACGTAACATCCCTAATCGTGTGTTTTCAAAAGAAAACACATGATTAGGGATATTACGGTCCAAAATCCCCAAGATTTTTGAGTTTAGGGTTCTGCCGGAATTAGGATTTAAAATTTGTATCATTCCGGACAGATTCGAGGGTTTCTAGGCATGGATTAATGATGAGGGAGGGATGAGGAACATATAGAATGAATTTGAGCCGGTTTGGGTGAGTATACATTTTGGCCGGATTTTCGATCTGAAATTCGAGAAGATTGGTTATGATTTGAGGAAGGTGGTTTTGGGGGTTAGAAAGAGGAAAGGGAGAGGATTCGAGGGTGTAATTTTGGATGGGTTTGGAGCATCGCCGCCGCCGGCGACGATTTCCGGCCGGCGGCGGACGGCGGAGGAAGGCGGAGAGACACGGCAGGGTAACGGTGGTGTTACACCGGCGGTTGGGGATGGGGCAGGGGTACGAGGAAAGGGAGGGTGGTCTCTATAATTTGTAAAGTATTATTACACTTTTATGTAAAATGAAGGACTAAATCTGGGCCGTTGGATTTGGGAGATGAAAGGCCACGATTGATTTGCCTGAAACGACGTAGTAGCAACCCCGTACTACGTCGTTTTTGATGGTTTGAAGGGTGAGGCATCTGGACCGGGTATGGATATGGTTTGGGCTTGGGTAAGGGACATGTTTGGCCGAGATTGAGCCCAAAATCAAAGGGCCTGATTCCCCTTTTTTTTGTTTAATTCAATTCTTTTCTTTTTCTCTTCTTTTCTTTGATTTTTTTTTAATTTGATTTTTGTATTTTGCTTCCTGATTTTATTATGTAAAATAAAAGTCCCAAATTAAATTTAAGATTATACTAATTAGTTACCAACATTAACTAATTCCTAATCTAAGAAGAAACTAAACCAAAAATGTAAAATGTAAAACTTAAAAATGTAAAAAAGACTATTTTTGTTATTTTCTCTTATTTTAGTAATATTAATTAACTAGTAACACTAAAAATATAAAATCAAATTCTAAATGAAAATGCACTATTTTTATACCTTTTATGAATTATGGCAACTAAAAATGCAAACAAGACACAAAATCATGCAATTAATTCCTAAAAATTCAAATAATAAGGAAAAATCCTAATTCTAAGGAATTTTATAGGAGTAATTTGAGCGTGGCAAAAATCACGTGCTCACAGCTGCCCCTCTTTGCTCGAAGACACGAAGGGTTTTCGGGCAAAGATAAATGAGCACCATGAAGGATTTTTGCCTGCTCGGCACTCCATGAGAAGCATTTTGAAAACCGTCTGACCTAACCCTGCTTCAAAGGTTGCCTACATATCCTTGGCTATAAAGGAATCAGGTCAGTGTAGTTCTGGAA